GAAGAACTAGCACTCTTAGTGTGTCAACATACATTTGCGGCCAATTTCTAGTCTACTGGAAATATCATCTATGGTAAAATTCCCCACGTAAGGAGAAGAGAAAGAAGTATATGAATGAATACAATTTGATATAAATGCTGCAAATTCTTGGTTGCCAATGTGAAATATTCCTAAAATCTTCGACAGAAGAATCACCAATAGCCACCACATGAGCAAGAACCATTTTTGAAGTGATGGAAACGACTTGAATCCCTTAGTATGATCTCATGGTCAACAATAATAGAGATGAATGTGATGGCACTGTGGCAGTCACCACACACCCGCAAGTTCTTTGTGATACGAATGGGAGTTCCAGGTGAGGAGGTGAGGATACCATAAGCAAGAGCAAGCTTCTCACTGTGCTCAGAGAGGAGGCAACTTTTCTCCTCATCTTCCACATCATGCAAAGCGAAATGCATCTGAGGCACATAACCAAGGGCTTTGATACGTTCGATCAAGGTCCCAAGAAGAGCATAGATCTGTTTAGATTGTGGGTGAGATCTGTCTCCGACAAAGAATGTCACAGTGCCTTTCTTTTCCTGAATCCAGCTGCAACCAGGCCTCTTCTTGATTCCAGACTTCTTCATCAAAGATCTGATCCTGGCTACATCTCTCCAGCGGCCTGCATTTGCATATATGTTGGAGAGCAATGTGTACGACCCATCATTTCCAGGCTCCAACTCTAACAACTGCCCCAAAGCATATTCACCAAGCTCCACATTGGCATGGGTTCTACACGCACTAAGCAAGGCCACCCAAACAACTGACGTGGGTTTCATTGGCATGTTCTTTGTCATCTCCCAAGCTTTATCTAAGCGACCAGCACGGCCCAACAGGTCGATTACACAAGCATAATGTTCAGCGCCAGCATCGACCCCATAATCCTTGCCCATGTTGTGAAAATAATCCAGCCCCTCATCGACCATGCCAGAATGGCTACAGGCATAGAGCACAACTAGGAAAGTGATGCCATCAAGAACAAACCCCACCTTTTGCATCTCCTCAAAGACACGGAGGGCATCTTTGCCATAGCCGTGCATCCCATAACCAGTCATCAGCGATGTCCAAGAAACAGAATTCTTATCTGGCATCATGTTAAAAACATTTTGAGCTGCATCAACATCACCACACTTGGAATACATGTCAATGAGGCAATTAGCTACATACAGCTTCGTGCCCTTGTACCTATTGCGAATCACATAAGCATGTATTTGCTTACCAAACCGTAGCGCTGCTAGACGAGCACAAGCCATAAGAGCACAAGATATAGTGAAAGCATTGGGCACAATGGACCTAGCTTTTACTAACATCTTCGAGAAGAGCGCTAGAGCATCATTGGCATCTCCATGTTGTGCATAACCTCCAATCATGACAGTCCAAGTAACAACATTTCTCCCCTTAAGTGGAATAGAACTAAATAATGATTGGGCTAATTTGAAATTCCTACATTTAGAATACATGTCTACAAGAGCATTCTGCACCATCAGATCTTCCCCATCACCATCATCATCATCTAACATTAGAAGGCATTTTTTAACAGCATAGGCATGTGTTTCCATTCCCTGAGAAATAGCTCCAATGGAAGCACAAGCAGAGAGGAGTGAGATAATGGTGACAGCATTAGGCTCCAACCCAGAGACCTGCATCTGCCGGAAAACTCTGAGGGCCTCATGTCCATGTCCCCTCTGAGCATACCCAGAAATTACAGCACTCCAAGTCACAACGTCCAATGCTATGTGCTCCGCATGCATCTTCTCAAAAAGCTCAAGGGCATGGTCAAAGTCACCATTCTGTGAATATCCAGTGACCATTGCATTCCAAGAAACTACGTCTTTCACCTCCATGCCATTGAAAACCTTGAAGGCATCACCCATCGCTCCACATTTCGAGTACACATCAATCATAGCATTTCCCACAAAGATATCCCAGAAAAGGCCATTTCTTACAGCATGTCCATGTATTTCTCTTGCCCGAGGAAATGAACAAAGGGAGGCACAAGCAGGGAGGATGTTTACAAGACTTATGATATCTGACCTCCTTTGGCTAGCCATATTACTGGCTTTTTGTGTCATCTCCGAGAACAGATCTAAAGCAATCTCCGGATTACCACTCTTCACATGTGCTGCTACCACTGAGTTCCAAGATGTAACATCATCAATTCCCCTAGAAATAATTTCTTCAAACACATAGGTAGCTTCCTCCACAGCACCACAGCGTGCATACATGGCTACCAAAGCATTGCAGACAAAAACATTCAATTCAAAGCCATTGCTGCAAATAACTGCATGGAGGACAGTCCCTCGTCGGTAGGAAGGTAGCTCCCCACATGCCTTGAGGGCAAAGGGAAAGGTGAAATGGTCCGGCCTAGTTCCTACACGCTGCATGCGCCGACAGAGGATGAGGGCACAGTCAAGGTGGCCTTCCTTGACATATTGCCTTATGAGCAAGTTCCACCAAAGCACGGGGGACGGCGAGAGACGCTCCAACAAGCAGATGGCATCGGTCAGAGCACCGCAAGCGAGGTATGCAGCTATGATACCAGTTCCCAATGATGACGAAGATGACAACGACGAAGAAATGGTGGGTCTTGAGGGAGAGGAGAGCAGACCAAGGCTGACAATCTGCTGGTGGATCTGTCTGGCGGTCGATGCTGTCTTGCATTCCTTCAACAGGGAAGCAAACTGAGAAGAGACTGGAGAAACAGAGGGAGACAAGTGGGTCACTGTCGAGAAGAGTCTGACTCTAATTCCTGAAGTTGCCTTGAGGAAACCCAGAAGCATAGCGACAGCATCATCTCATTCAGCCACCTTAACCACTCAAATGGCTGCCATTAGCTCACTGCAGGAAACCGAAGAACATGCAAATCAAATCAGATGAACAACATTTCGTTCCAAGAAAAAACACAAAATTGAAACTCTGATGCAGAGCCCACACAAACAAACCATTGATATGTGATAAAAGAGAGCACCCAATTGCAAAACCGAAAAATATTGTAACTTTTCCACCTTCTTCATCTCATCTCAGTTCAATAAAAAAGCCTATAATTCTAAACTGAAAACTCATCCAACAAGCGCAAGAAGAGCAGACCACCATCTACTAGCTCAAAATCACAGCCTAACATCCAAACCACAGCATCAATCCCGCACCAAACTAGCAATTCCTGCAGATTCGACTACGAACTCCACATACAAACGGAAAAGCAAGGTTTCATCTGAAGCAGAAAACACGCAAATATTAGATTCAATCGAACTGGGATCGCCGACCTCATACACGAAGCAGAAATCGACCCTGCAGACGGACGTGAGAATGAGAATCCCCAGCCGACCATGGAGATATCGCTAAAACCCTAAGCCCCTTTAGGGAAGCCGTAGGGTTTTTAACGTCCGCATCCCGGTTCGTTACTTGGACCGGCACCCGAACCGGGCTGCAAGCACGAGCAAACCGGTTTGCTTGCCACGCTGAAGTCAGTCTCAGTTACCAAAGCCCAAACCCGATGTCTCCATACATATATGTATGGTTAAACTTGATCCACATTAAGGTTGGAGATCCCAATTAACATTTTATTAGGCACCACGAAGTGATAGCATTGTTTAAGCTGATCATTTCTGATGATGGTTGAAATATGAATTATGAATCATGTAAATAACCTTTGTATTTGTAGGGATAATTTAAATTTGACTGAAGTTAAAAGAAGTCATTGGGTAAATGTGATTAATTTAGTTCTCCATGCATAAACATCTTTAAGAGGAAACATTATACAATACACCAATAAAAGCTCTGAGATTTTTATTATACATATTTAATGTTTGATTTTCTTATGATACATTTGGTGGGGTTCCAATGCAAAACCCATTTATAATTGTCGTTTTAAAGTATGCATATCCTGTTAGGATTTATTTATTTATTTATTTTTTTGTATATGGGGATCAATGTAATTTGATATGATCATCCTCTACTTTTTAACCTAAAACTCTTTTCTTCACTGTTTTATTACATTTATCATAGTGGTTCAAAATATAGTTTTATGTGAATCAAAACATCTAAGAGAATATACGTAAGAAATTAATTTCTAATGACATCTTCTTCTGAAGAGAATATGATGACAAATATAGGGGATTCAGCTGTTCATAAGCAAACACGGCTTTAGAAAGATTCTCATATCAAAACATCATCAATCACCTCAATTTTCTCATGAAAATAAAGCAAATTGGCAGAAGAACAATTACCCCTCTTTTGAGACAATTGAATTTATTCATCATAGCTTTATAGTACTGTTTATTGGGTCCAACTCATATCTGATGTGGGCTTGGACAATCTAAATCCAAGAAATTAAAGAAATAGAGAGAGAAAGGGCAAAATGAGGAAGAAAAAGATTAGAGCAAGCAGCAGAGGAAGGAGGAGAGAGAAATAAAAAGAAAGATTAAGTTTCTGAGTTTTCTGCTTGACGATCGGTGGTCAAACGTTGTCAATTTTAACTCAAATTTTATATGGAGAATCCTTACAGTAAACTCTACGATCCTAATAGTGTTGATCTACAATTTACCCTCTCTAAAGTACTCTACTATATTTACTTTGTGAGATCTAGAATTTTTTATAAAGAGATCATAATGATATACTATTCTTAAGACAAAATGTATGATCTTGATGTTATTCTGATCCTCTGATTATTTTAAAGAAGATGTACTATAAACCTGTTATCATTATTATTAATAGTGAAAGTTTGAGGTGGACTACGATCCCATGATTTTTTTCACATTAGGTTTTTCACGTTAAAAGATTTGATCTTACTGTGTGTGATTGATTATTTGCTCTATTGTTTATGCTGTGCTGGTTGATATTTTTATTTGGATATCAAGTTAGTATTTTGATGAGGAACTCATTTAAATACACAAAGAGGGAAAAGAATATTTCGCTTTAACAGGTTTTTTCCCAACACTACTGAAGATTTTTTTTTTCCTTTCTTCATGGTCGAATTTTCTTTTTCTTAAAGGAAAGCATATATAAGTGCAATTTAGAATATCATGTTGTTGTTCAAACTGGATTTTGAATTTTTGGTGAATCTCAATGAGCCTCCAAGTTGGCCACAAACAGATCTACAGCCAATTTGTGGTCATTCACATTGAGAATAAGGTCACTTAACAGGCCATATCATTCACTTTGAGCTTTTGATGTTCTTTGCAATTTCCAAAAGACAAATTTTTACTGTAAAAGAGAAACAAAAGTATCCTTCTTGATTCCTTTCTCAACTCCCATGGTGTCTCATTATCATACTAACCAGCTATGAAAGTGGAAATCCCTCTCACTAATATCAGCTTTGATCATCCTTTATCCCCTAGTCTGACTGCCTGTATGATATATTTAAGAAATCGGATCACTTTGCTTACAATCTTAGTTCAAAATTTTCGGTTGCCATTTCTGTTGTGTCAAAAGATCTCTCTGCATAAGCTAAATGAGGTCTTACAGAGCCATCAGAAGAATGATATTTATGATCATGATGAGCTTCTGATGTCACAATCAAAACAAGAAGTACCATGATCACCGATAGAACTGCCAAGGCTGCACATGTCAAGTGTGCGTAATTTCTCAATGGTTTGCATTCTTTCAAAAGGATTTTAGAGAATGCATCCTTCACCAATTGACAATTTGCCAATCTTTCCATATGAGGAAATCCATCAAGAAGCTTCTGCATGGAGTAAACTAGCACTCTTGTGTAGTTGTTATCTGATACAAATTCTCCTTGACTGCAAGCTCCATCATCACTAGCGGAGTAGGTATATTTCTTCAAAAATTTGAAACAGTGAATATTATGTTGGTTTAGTGAGTAATTTAAGAGTGCTTACTGATATTTTTGCATGCTAATGAATAATAGAATTGATAATCAGATATCTCTTAGCCGCTAGACTTCTATATCAGAATTATTGGCACATTATGTAAGACGAAGAGATTCACCTCAGGAATGTCTCCTATTTTGATTGTGTTGGAAGAACAATTGTCTGGCTGATAAGAATACTGAGGAGGTCCTGAAAAAGGATTACATATGTACTCCAGATCTGGAAGAATTGATGACTTCACTGTCGATATGTTTGAATTTACCTGCACATTAAACAAACACAAGTGTTCTAAACTTGACAAGTGCATGTTTAATAAAATCATGTGATTCTGTGCATCAATACTGATTTTTCCAGGTGTCGAGGTTTGTTTCCATGACTTTGTTATTAAGTGTTGTTATGATTAAAAATTCATCTCTATCGAAGAGGTTTAATTGATTGGGTAAATTCATTGATGCTTCAGATGAAGGAATACAGCTCATGATACAATGTATCAGAAAAAATCATGTTCATTATCGTTGCTCAAATATTGATGCTATGATGTCGTTAAATTAAGATGCATAAATTTTCTAGAATTGGTCATAAATATCCCTTAAGTTCCTTGAATTTCTCATAAAATAGAACATGGAAAAACATATTCTTTCAAAAGAAGATGCATTGGAATTTTCTCAAGTTCCATAACCACAAAACAAAAACAATGCCTAACAATTTTTTACACTGAAATTTCTTAAAGATGGAAGTTCCATTATGCGTTTGAAGCTTAAAATAGAATACTGATTGGTGTAGTTGACTTCAAACAAGGAAAAACCAATTTAGTTGTCCTAGCACATATTTAGCAATACCTATGAGGTTAGACTAAAGTCACTGTTTTATAAATAAGAGTAATGATAATACATGAAACACTGTGTACCGGAGTGTCACATATCAAGACCATGATCTACCAAGGACAAATGGTACCTGGTCAATTGTATCATGGATTCCTTCTCGGATCTCTTGTAGGCCAAAATTGGCTGGCAGATGCTCACTGCACCGTAGGATTGAGCTTAAGGTGCTATTCTGGGGATTTAGCTGATACCCATCAAGAGCTGCACAGGTATCACCAGAAAACCTGGAAAGTATGCCCTAATAAGCTGATGTTATTATACAAGAACACTTCTTAAATCGAGAAAGAACATGGCTTACTTGTATAGAAAAAAATACAGCCCAAAGTTTATCCAGAAAAAGAATGTGAGTAGCCAGCAAAGGGTGATAAACCTGTTATAGCAGAAGTTTACTTTTATTTCCCAAAAATATATAGTCAGAAATTTTTTAAGCTGTAACATGTTGACTTTATGTGCGCAATACTTAATCAAGCATATTTCTCTTGTCCAAATTGTTCCACAAGTCACCAAGTATGTTGCTGTATAAGAGAATGATTTAACCAACTCAGTTAAAATCAAGAATTGAATCAACTAGGTGCCTTCGGAAATATTTATTCAAAATTTCTACTGATATCTGAATTTTTTGACTGAGTTGACAACTAGGCCAATTTGAAGCCTACTTACAGATACATTGCTTGGTAAAGCCTTAGAGACCTCAATGCTGCAACAACAGAAAAGAGAGATTTAGAAGTTAAATACACAGAGCAATTTGGTTAATGGAAATTCAGATTACTTACCCAGCGCTACCAACACAGCAATAAGATTTAGCACAATGCTGAAGATGGTCACTACTTTCCTGCAAAAAATATGCATTGTTATGAGCAACATTGAGATAATGGCTTTGAAGTTACTCATATTGTTGATTTACTTTCCATTTTGTTCAGTTCTTACAACATTTTGATACCCTTGTTAACCAGGTGCATTCTATTCTCTGCTTGTCTTTGTATATTAGCAGCTTCATCATAGAGCATCTGTGATGTGGAATTCAGATTGCTGGATTCTTCAATCCCACCATAGAGATTGTTGACACTTTCCATGGCCGCCACAGCTTCTGTCACATTGTATATTGTTTGGGATGCTTCTTCCGATGTTTCTACAATGATGTTCTCGATTGATTTCACTCTAGAATAGAATTTAAAGCTACCACCAAGTACTATTCCTGATGCCACTCTGCGAGTAAAATTTTTAGCAGTAGTTACTCAGTGGTAACAATTTATTTTTATTTGGACAAATAATTATGTAATGATCAACAAAAAGATATATATTGACAGGAATTTAACTTAGGTGTTTAGTTAGTTAAAGTTAAAGGCTTACAATGATAGACATGTTAACAAGATCCCAATTAACATTGGCGACACACAGTATTTCTTAGAGCAAGGGAGTCTCTTCTTTTGCTTCCTTTCCTTACGGACCGAACAAGTCTTTGTTGCAATACGCAGAACACAAGCAGAGACAAGACCACCAACAAGCCATATTGTACCAATTATATATCCATATCTGCCTGTATAAACTGTAGACTGAAAAAAGAAAAGAAAGCAGGTCATATTTCTCATTTATTTGTTCAAGCTCAAACACTAAAGTGTTTTTGAATTTGATTGTTGAGGTAGCTGATAAAAAAAAAACAACCTTCAGCCATAATGGTATAAACACAAGAGCACACAAGTTTGAGAAAACCTTTTAAGATTATGGTAAGAATGAAATTTTGCAAATGTGTTCAAATATATAGAGCTGAAATGTGGTATTTTCCTAAATGAAAAAAATTAATCTTAAGTTGGGCAAAATGTTGTGACTGAAAAGTTCACCAAGGTTCAAATTTTGTTGAATAAGAATTCAGAACAGGTTTAAGAGTGAAATCCTTGAATGTTGATAAGGTTTAGATCCAAGTTATAAGCCACATTCAGTATACAATATCAGTCGCTTGCTGTTTATAAAACAAATTTAAACTATGCGCACGAATTTGCACGCATGTTAATAATTTTATTCATGCAGAAGAAAAAGGGAGAGAGATTACACTCCAATAATGCTTGTTTGTAATGTTATAGCCACCTTTGTACTTCTTGAAGCTATCCAAAGGATCAACTCTTTCTGTCCTTGCAGATAATGTGCTTGCAAGTCCTGTAGTGTTTCCCTCCTCAACCAAAATTCTTTCTTCTTGTAGAAAAGAGAAAAGATATAAATTAAAAAAGCAATTTATAACAAGTTATTCACTGTAAAAAACTGAAAGCATTCTTTTTTATGTTTAGATCTTTAAAATGAAAAGTATGCCATGCATTGAATTCATGAGATACTACTTCCATTCCATGTAACAAGTCCCCATTACTAGTTACTCTAAACTTGGTATTTTTTTAAGCCCAGTTGGGGATAACAAGCCTTGATTTACGATTCGGCGGTCCACTTTCCATCCAAATATTTTTCATTTTCTCTATCGAAACATTAATCCAAGTATGGACAATCAATCTTAGATCAATTCATGGCTACATGATGACGGATTGTTTCTCTTTACTCGATCCCATAATGCCTCAATAAAGCCAAGAAGCCTATTAAATAGTTAATCATGCTTTCAGAAACTATTTATGCTTTTTAGTTGTAAAACACATGTAGTTTGTCGATCAAAGATATCCAAGAAAATTACAATTTCCTGAAAGCCTGGGTAGAGAATTCATCCTCACCTGTACCAGTGCCAGAGATTGTATCCAGCTCCAGAGTCGTTTGTGCCATGACTTCTGCGAGACCACAGCTTAAGATTGCAACCAAGGAACATAGAAGCATTGCAGACTGACACAACTTTCTCAAGCCCATCCTAAATACCTGTAGTTATATCAATCGTCACCTATTGCACTCAGAATGCTTAGCAAAATACTGAAAGAAATAAAACCAGCATACCATCAAAGAAAGAGAATGAACACAATATGGCTCACGAAATACATATTTGTGGTCATTTCTAAAGGATGAGGGCAACAAAAATGACACGAAACTTTTGTTTCCAGAGGAATGCTTCAGGTGTGGACTAAACGTGTGCCGTAAAACTTACCCATCTGTGACTGTAAACCAACAAAAACAACCCTCACAAAACCACTCGAGCATTGAAGTAGGCTGTCTATGAAGCAAATGGACCACAAGATCTTAAAGTGTTATTGGTCAAGATTTCAGAAAATCTTCTTATTATTGTGCTTTATGGGTACTTTTTCTTCAAATCTTTCGAGGAAAAAGAATAAGAAAGAACGAACAAAGAGCTTCTATAATACAAAGAATCGAGAATAGCTGACCCTCCATAGAACAGCATGCAATTTCACATGTCTCAAAATCACTGGTCTTTTGGATTGTCCCGATCAAGCAACCTGACCTCTCCAATCACCAACAACCCGAAAAGTAGCAGAAAAACGAAAAGAATCTCACTTACTGGTCTTCCAACGAAGAACGATCAACCTGGTATCAGAAACCTCTCTGTTTTCATGCCACCCGCAGGAGGTAAAGTCGATGGCTCTCTTCACAGAAGCTTCAAACAGTGAAGTCCGTGTGATGCTTGCCCACTCTCAAGTCTCCATTATCTCCTTGCAAACGAAGACTACTACCACAATAAAACCCTGTCAAACCTACTGCTTCAGAAGCCCAAATTGTTTCACATCAAATGATGACACAGGAGATGACGACTCTCCTGATGCAGGTATAAATATATACACGTGGAACACTCATGCTCTTCTTGTGAAACGAGGCAATTCATCAAACGCTGTAGGTGAGTGACACCACCAAAACCTTACCAACTAAGAAAACAAGCCCGAGAAAGAGAGATGAAGTGTAGGCAGATTGGAGTGACACCACCAAAACGATTTCTTTTGTTGTTGGTGGATATGATCAAGTGCTTGAGATACGATTCCTTGCCTCGCCGCAGCAGCAGCGTGTGAACTCTGACGCAGAAAGAAGAAAGAAAAAGGTTCAGCCAACCTTATTTTTTTCTTTCGGCTCGAGGTTCATATGCTTCTCCTTTACCGTTCAACTTCTCCTTCTCTGAGGAGTGGAAAGTGTGCATATGTAACAGCTTGATCATATCAGTTGCTGATTTGGAGGGAAAGCAATCCCAAGACACAGATCCAATAGGGACGAGATGGTATCTTTTCGACTTCTCGGCAATGTTGTTTGATGGAGCAGAAGCTTCGGAGTGGAGACAAATGTACATGTGGAGACAAACACATGCAGTGGATTCACTTTCCATAAAGTTTACTCTTTTCGATATATATATATACATATATATTTTTTAACGAGAGAGAGAGAGAGATCTGTTAGGCTAAAGGTTGTATGTCGGCATGTGTCATGTATGTTAGGCTCTTGGTACATTGACCACCAACTTTCACGATATTGATCGATCCGGACATGAACTAACATTCGGACAAAGGTTTTCCTTGCATGCTTTTGTCTGAGGCTTCTTCCCACCGTAGTTCATTCCTCTTCGTCTGGCTCCTCTTTCTTTTCCTATCCTCCTCAGTGCCATCAAATATGTCGATACGTTTGTTTGTCCGATCTGATCAATGACCGGTATAAATCTGAAATTGAAATTTCAGACCACGTAAGATAGAAAGACTTGGACAACTCAGAGGGAACAGAAAACTTGATGGGGCCAATGGCTGCATATATTGCTTGAATATATTGGGGGAAAAAGATTAATTGGATACAGGATTATAAATGACACACTATTCAGTCCTAAGCTTTGCCAAAGACAGTTTTCCATGAGTTTTTTCAAGCTCATAGATAACAGGACTCGTATACGTATGATGTTATATGACACATCACAGTGTCACCTTGTTCCGAGTTTGATGAATGCTGCTTAAACAAGTGCATGAAGCTCCATGATGCAAGCAAGATAGGGTTAGATGTAACAATACCCACACATTTAGAGAAGCAGCAGCTTCCATGATGGCTGTGTTGCAAGAAATCCACATTGTCCATGTTGTCTCAACTCAAAGGTGGTAAACATAATTCTTGCTCAGCTAATAGACCCAAATGCTCTATTTTATGCCAAGATTGTGTGGAAAATAACTCATGATTACAAGTAAAAGCTTCTCAACTTGTTTCTGTCGTTGCAATAGCCAATGCAATTAAGATTGATGGTAGTGCAAGTACTTCATTTCTTAATTAGAATCTTGTGTCTTGCACCCCAATTAATGTTTGAATTAATATGAATATCCAAGATACACACCATAGAAATTTACTTCAGGGCTCTGGTTGCATCTTCTCGCATTCATCTCGTATCGACTGGAAAAGGACAGAGGAAAGGTACCTCTCGCCAAAGCTTGGGAATACAACCTAAACAGAAAACAAGGTGGTTATAATATTTTGATGAAAATAGATTAAAAAAATATTTGACATATTTATGTGATATAATGAAAAGTCAATTTAGTTTGATTTTGAGCCCGGAATCAGATCAAAGGAATGGAAGCAGGTACAGAAACAAAAATGTACTGAACTTTATAAGAAGAGATATGCAAGTATGCCTAAAATTTACGTCAGAACATTTATGCATAAACAAAACCATGTTATAACAAATACTGCATAAATACATGTGCAAACTTCACACAAATTCGCACAACAGACCGAATCGCATGATGTCTTGGTATCTAAAGCATGTTTCTGGTAACATGTGGATATAAAAAAATTTAGATCTCAGATCATCCCTCTGAGCTTCTAGATGCAATTTAAAAAGAAGCCAAACTTAAACAACGTACTGGATAATATCACCAAATTTCTCTAAGCACTACTGTAGAACTAGGTGTTTGTACCCACACGAGCACATTAATTATGTACTTTATAACCTTGATCAAGAGATACTTGAAAACAATTTTGAAAGAAACGTGACAAGTATTTCTCTTCCATTAGGGAGTTATTTTGCTTTGGGATTTGTAAATATTCTCGTGGTTCCATAGTCATGAACAGTGTTTCCTTGTCCACATTCAACTATAAGAACATCATACAGAATGAACAGACAAACAAAATTTGACATACCGCTATAAGTTTCCCAGCATTTTCTGGTCTCCTTGCAACTTTCATGGCAGCAGCTGCTGCTGCTCCTGAAGAAATACCAACCTGCACAAGAAACATCAGATATTAACAAGCATTGCTTAGACACCAACCGCAAGACACCTTGTTGATTAAATGACTCTAGACTCTAGAGAACCCACACTGATATGAAAATAAGGTCATATTGGATATTATAGAAACTTATTGTAAGAGGAAGCATCCCAAAGTTTGGAACTGGCTAGATCTCATCTAACATTTCTAGCAGCACATAGTGCACATATTTGTTTAGTAAAAAAAAGTTAACATAAATTAAGATAATTAAAATCCAAATCAACTATGACTGTCACCACTTTCAACTCTGCATTCATATATTTGTGCTGCAATGCACTCCTTCAACTTTTTAACACCTGATAGCCAAGATGGTACGTCCATTATATCTTTTTCACAAAGCAGCAGTATTGGTAGCTGTGGTTTGGATATTTATTTCTCGTTTTTTATTGGAAAGGATGAGAATCATTTTAACAGTAAATGGACCTCATGATGTAGGAGTAAATGTGATTTCAAGATTGAAACTAGATGCTAAGGAACATGGGTTTAATTATAAATGTCTTTTTGGTAATTTGGATGAATTTTCTTCACTGGAGTCCTATTTTAGTCATATTCTTATTTTCTATTATTAGTTTTGATATGCATTACTTTGGTAGAGCTCCATAGCGATGAATGCTTTTGAAAGATCTAAATGTCCTATTTAGATAGGACCTTTAAAGAGTAATAATTAGTAATTTTAGAAAGTCCTTCCATCACAGAAGAATTATAAGCATATATCAACACCAAACACTTTGATGATGATGCAGATGTATTAAGCTCATGGTTCACTATGCTGACCTATATCGTGAGGTATGTATCAGTCGGACAGAAGACTGGCACGCGAACCACCACCTTGTATCGGGCGGTTCATAACAGGGGACCCCATATCGCCTGATATGGGGCCTATATTAGTTGGAACGATCGAAATCCGACTGTTACTGACTAGTACCTATCAGTAACGATCGGATTTTGACCGATACCAATCAATGGTTGGGATTTGTTGAATTCAAACGGTCCATTTGACCATTTGAACCAGATCTAAGAGTTTTTAAACCCTTTCTACCCCCTCATTCTCTCCCCTTTCACTCTTTCTAACTCGTCTATTCTCTCAATTACTTTCTCACTCATATATTTCTCTCATATTCTCATTTGCACTCTTTTGAAATCTACAAAGCTATGATATGTGGATTGGATCAAGCTTGGGAGGTTAATTAGGGACGATTAACACCTAAGTTTGAGGAAGAACTCTCTAATGAAATATATGTATTTTTTTCTAGATTTTTGATGATTTATGAGATGATTAAGCCTATTATATGTTCTCAATGTCTAGTATGTAGTTTAAGGTGTTTATGATGGTGGAATAGTGCTAATTAGGGAGTAATTAAGGCATTTAATGTTGCAATTAGTGTGTTTAATACTGATTTTTTTTTTTAAATTAGACACTTAATGAGTTAGATCTTTGTATTTCATGCAAATTAAGGTGATTTACATGTTTATGATGGTATAATGGGTTTAATTAGATTTTAATTAAGTTATTTTAATGTTGTGATTAGTGGTTTTAATGATGATTTAATCGAAATTTAACCCATATTGAATCAATTCAATGTCTCTAATATCTACTAGGATGTTTAACATGTTTATAGTAGTGAAAAAGGATTAATTAAGGATTAATTAACTATGTTAATGCTGTGATTACTATAATTTTCAATACATTTAATCGAAATTTGATTCATATTGGGTCAATTAAATGTCTTTAATGTCTGTTAGAATGTTTGTCATGTTTATAGTGGTGAAAGTGGAATAATTGGCGAGTAATTAACTATATTAATGGTGGAATTAGTGTATTTAATGATGATTTCAATAAAATTTGATCTATATTGGATCAAATTTACGTATTTAATGCCTCTTAGGATATTTGATATATTTATAGTGGTAAAATAAGGTTAATTAGTATTTAATTAAGTTTAATAATGCTGTAATTAGTATATTTAGTGATAAATTTATCATTATTTAACCCTTTTATTGGGACAATTTTATGTATTTAATAATTATTAGTGTTTGACATGTTTATTGTGGTAAAAGAGGGCTAATTAGCGAGTAATTAGTGTTTTTAATTGTGAATTCATCATAATTTGACCTATAGAGAGTCAATTCTATGTATTTAATGCCGAATAGGTTGATTGACATGTTTATAGTGGCAAAGTATGATTTATTATATATAATCGCACCTTGTTATTTCAAATAAGGGCTAATCGTAGCTTATTTATTTGATTCAATCTTGGTAGGAATATAGCACCAAAGGAACAAACACATGATGCCGCTAGGGATCATACCCAAAAGATAGACGGGAATCATCATCATTGGTAATGCATTTATTGTAGCTACATCGGCAAGGGTAGAGGAATCACCCAAGTGAAGATGTATTTGGTCGACGGGTATCCCGATGTTGCAAAAAGAAGGTTCCGACGGAAGTTCGTAAATCATTTTAAGACTAGTTACAACAAGCAAAGGAAGATACAATTAAAAAGAAGACAAGAGATGAGGAAGAATACATTAGGGCTATGCATAAACCGATTTATGATGAATATAAGGGTTAATATCGACCCGGATCTCAGAGCTGACATTCATGTATCACCAGAGCATCAGTACATATACGAGGAAGCAATGTGGCATCAATGAGTCGACTCACAATGAAAACATGATAGTGGTAGTCGGTCTACGCCATAGGGATTCCAAAGGTCGGCTAGCATGATGTCACGGACTTAGGTGGTTTTGCCTAAGTGGTGTGGCACCCTTGCGTGTCCGTCCGCAAAGGTCAGCCTCCCCGAAGCCTCCCATGTCCCTTAGGACCCACAAAAGAGAGAACGGGTTAGAGAAAACGCCTCATTCGGGATCCACAAGCAAACATCTCCGAAAACACTTCATAGACAATGCAAATTACAAACAGACTTTACAAGCTCTGAATAGTTGCACAACAAAGGGTAAAATGATCCATTACAGACCAAAAATCTCTCGCACGTGTCCACATGACACAACCTTTATTTACAAGCCTAAAGCGGCCACCAACCTAACTAAAAATAGGACTATTAAGCCTTCGGCCGTCCCTCTACATGCTGTGCAGAGCATGAACATATCAAACGACACGGACATACATAAGCATTACATCGAACATCCTGTTTAGAAGTTTGTTCGTGACATTCTCCCCCACTTATTCCTTCGACATCCTCGTCGAAGCCTTTGTCGACACTACAACTCCTTGCCTTTGTTGAGTCTTCAATCTTCTGCTCCAGCTGCAATGCGCCTCTTGGCTCCCAACTGCTCTCTGCTGCTGTTTTTGAGTAGTTGAACCTTTTGATCCGTCATGCTGCTTCAACTCGCCAATGACTCTGACTCTAGTGTGGGGTTGGCTAAGTTGTGTTGATCCCTGTTGGTTCCTGCGGATGCTCCAGATGAAGGAAAAGACCATCCTTACTGCGCCAGTCTCTCAAATGCCTCATGCTGCTTGAACTGGGTGGATGCTTGTTGGAGCTTTAACGAGCATCGTCTCGCAAACTTCTGAAGTTTTGGGTCCTTCCTCCACAAGATTTGCTCATTGACTCTTTTTTCACTTAGTTATCACATCCAAGTAGGTTCGCATCACTTCCGCTTTCGATTGGCATTTCGTTGAGAAATAAAGCGGACAATCTACTCTCAGTAACACTGATCATCGTTGGTGAGGATTTGACAACTATTGTCTTCCATTATCTTCGAAGGGTCTTTAAACATATGCAGAGCTCCTCTGCTGGATAGATGAGAGAATTGGGGTACTCGGTTTCGCCCATTCTCTTAAGAGTTGAGAAGGCAAAGGTTAATTGACTTCGCCCGCCTCCTCGAGGTTGTACTCCATGCATCGAGCTGGTTAGTGGCCTTCGCCTGCTCTTTGCTCACACTTCTGAAGCACTTGAAGTGTTTGCACTCCTTGCGTTGAGTTAGCTACTGTGATTCACCTTCTCAATGCCATCGAACTTCTGGAATGCAGGAAGTTTTCACCCCAACTTGGAGTAATTCTCTAATCGATTTGGTCGCCTCTGGGATTGTACTGTCTTCTCCATCAATCCTACCGCCTACTCCCTTGAGTAGCGAAGGTACAGTACAGCGTATTGCCTGCTTCGTTCCTTGATCGTGCACTATTGCATGACCCGAAGTCCTTCACTTTCGGCTATCTTGATGAGAAACTCGTTGACACCGGTCTTACGAAGTTCCTTGACCTCTGCCATTCAGCCTTGTCACGGTACTTGGAGTTTGCCTCTGCATGCTCCACCTCCTCGGCCCCTTTCACGACCAAGCGCTCTCCCTCCATGAGAGCAAGGGATCAATGACTTTCACGGAAGTCCCGCCTCTGCGGTACCATGGCGCTGCCATGCCCATGGCACTACTATCCGTCGCCTCGCATCTGCATCCCTTTTCTTCACGATCAGTAGATATGTCTCTGTGGCACTCCTCCGCGTCCACCTTCATTCTAAACTGATGCTTGATTTTGGGTAGCTAAGTCCCTCTGGATTCATCGTCGCTTCCTCGCCCCTTTCGACCCCCTGCTTCAACACCTTTGTGTTCTCCAAGCAGCTCCCTTTGGTCGACGAAAAGACAGACTGCAACTCCCATGCATGGCCTCTGCCATCGCATTATAGGGTTTACACCGATTATGTTCTCCTTAGCTTCCTTGGTAGCAACGTTCGCTTACTCGACCTAGTCCTCTGACTTGTCGGGCTCCCTTAAGCGAATATGAGCTCTGGAGCAGTCCAACTCTCCAGCTGCTTCAATCATACCTCTGTATGATCAAGTCCCTCCTATGGGACTCACTGGTACTTGCATTCGAACTTTTCCCTTGGTGGAACACAGCCCCCATATGCTGATGACCAAGGCTTTCATCCGATGCAAAATTCGATGCATGCACGGAAGACCCGCCTCTGCGGTACTATGGCCTTCACTCCTTGAATCCA